TTGCTGACTGGCATTGCTGACTGGCATTGCTGACTGGCATTGCTCACTGGCATTGCTGACTGGCATTGCTGACTGGCATTGCTGACTGACATTGCTGACAGGCATTGCTGACTGGCATTGCTGACTGACATTGCTGACTGACATTGCTGACTGACATTGCTGACTGACATTGCTGACTGACATTGCTGACTGACATTGCTGACTGACATTGCTGACTGACATTGCTGACTGACATTGCTGACTGACATTGCTGACTGCCATTGCTGACTGCCATTGCTGACTGCCATTGCTGACTGCCATTGCTGACTGACATTGCTGACTGACATTGCTGACTGACATTGCTGACTGACATTGCTGACTGACATTGCTGACTGGCATTGCTGACTGGCATTGCTGACTGACATTGCTGACTGACATTGCTGACTGACATTGCTGACTGACATTGCTGACTGACATTGCTGACTGACATTGCTGACTGACATTGCTGACTGACATTGCTGACTGACATTGCTGACTGACATTGCTGACTGGCATTGCTGACTGGCATTGCTGACTGGCATTGCTGACTGGCATTGCTGACTGGCATTGCTGACTGGCATTGCTGACTGGCATTGCTGACTGACATTGCTGACTGACATTGCTGACTGACATTGCTGACTGACATTGCTGACTGACATTGCTGACTGACATTGCTGACTGACATTGCTGACTGACATTGCTGACTGACATTGCTGACTGACATTGCTGACTGACATTGCTGACTGGCATTGCTGACTGGCATTGCTGACTGGCATTGCTGACTGGCATTGCTGACTGGCATTGCTGACTGACATTGCTGACTGACATTGCTGACTGACATTGCTGACTGACATTGCTGACTGACATTGCTGACTGACATTGCTGACTGGCATTGCTGACTGGCATTGCTGACTGGCATTGCTGACTGGCATTGCTGACTGGCATTGCTGACTGGCATTGCTGACTGGCATTGCTGACTGACATTGCTGACTGACATTGCTGACTGACATTGCTGACTGACATTGCTGACTGACATTGCTGACTGACATTGCTGACTGACATTGCTGACTGACATTGCTGACTGACATTGCTGACTGACATTGCTGACTGACATTGCTGACTGACATTGCTGACTGGCATTGCTGACTGGCATTGCTGACTGGCATTGCTGACTGGCATTGCTGACTGACATTGCTGACTGACATTGCTGACTGACATTGCTGACTGACATTGCTGACTGACATTGCTGACTGACATTGCTGACTGACATTGCTGACTGACATTGCTGACTGACATTGCTGACTGACATTGCTGACTGACATTGCTGACTGACATTGCTGACTGACATTGCTGACTGCCATTGCTGACTGCCATTGCTGACTGCCATTGCTGACTGCCATTGCTGACTGACATTGCTGACTGACATTGCTGACTGACATTGCTGACTGACATTGCTGACTGACATTGCTGACTGACATTGCTGACTGACATTGCTGACTGGCATTGCTGACTGGCATTGCTGACTGGCATTGCTGACTGGCATTGCTCACTGGCATTGCTCACTGGCATTGCTGACTGGCATTGCTGACTGACATTGCTGACAGACATTGCTGACAGACATTGCTGACAGGCATTGCTGACTGGCATTGCTGACTGGCATTGCTGACTGACATTGCTGACTGACATTGCTGACTGACATTGCTGACTGACATTGCTGACTGACATTGCTGACTGACATTGCTGACTGACATTGCTGACTGACATTGCTGACTGACATTGCTGACTGCCATTGCTGACTGCCATTGCTGACTGCCATTGCTGACTGCCATTGCTGACTGACATTGCTGACTGACATTGCTGACTGACATTGCTGACTGACATTGCTGACTGACATTGCTGACTGGCATTGCTGACTGGCATTGCTGACTGACATTGCTGACTGACATTGCTGACTGACATTGCTGACTGACATTGCTGACTGACATTGCTGACTGACATTGCTGACTGACATTGCTGACTGACATTGCTGACTGACATTGCTGACTGACATTGCTGACTGGCATTGCTGACTGGCATTGCTGACTGGCATTGCTGACTGGCATTGCTGACTGGCATTGCTGACTGGCATTGCTGACTGGCATTGCTGACTGACATTGCTGACTGCTGACTGACATTGCTGACTGACATTGCTGACTGACATTGCTGACTGACATTGCTGACTGACATTGCTGACTGACATTGCTGACTGACATTGCTGACTGACATTGCTGACTGACATTGCTGACTGACATTGCTGACTGACATTGCTGACTGACATTGCTGACTGACATTGCTGACTGCCATTGATGACTGACATTGCTGACTGACATTGCTGACTGACATTGCTGACTGACATTGCTGACTGACATTGCTGACTGACATTGCTGACTGACATTGCTGACTGACATTGCTGACTGACATTGCTGACTGACATTGCTGACTGACATTGCTGACTGACATTGCTGACTGACATTGCTGACTGACATTGCTGACTGACATTGCTGACTGCCATTGCTGACTGCCATTGCTGACTGACATTGCTGACTGACATTGCTGACTGGCATTGCTGACTGGCATTGCTGACTGGCATTGCTGACTGGCATTGCTGACTGGCATTGCTGACTGACATTGCTGACTGACATTGCTGACTGACATTGCTGACTGACATTGCTGACTGACATTGCTGACTGACATTGCTGACTGACATTGCTGACTGACATTGCTGACTGACATTGCTGACTGACATTGCTGACTGACATTGCTGACTGACATTGCTGACTGACATTGCTGACTGGCATTGCTGACTGGCATTGCTGACTGGCATTGCTGACTGGCATTGCTGACTGGCATTGCTGACTGACATTGCTGACTGACATTGCTGACTGACATTGCTGACTGACATTGCTGACTGACATTGCTGACTGACATTGCTGACTGACATTGCTGACTGACATTGCTGACTGACATTGCTGACTGACATTGCTGACTGACATTGCTGACTGACATTGCTGACTGACATTGCTGACTGGCATTGCTGACTGGCATTGCTGACTGGCATTGCTGACTGGCATTGCTGACTGGCATTGCTGACTGGCATTGCTGACTGCCATTGCTGACTGGCATTGCTGACTGACATTGCTGACTGGCATTGCTGACTGGCATTGCTGACTGACATTGCTGACTGACATTGCTGACTGACATTGCTGACTGACATTGCTGACTGACATTGCTGACTGACATTGCTGACTGACATTGCTGACTGACATTGCTGACTGACATTGCTGACTGACATTGCTGACTGACATTGCTGACTGACATTGCTGACTGACATTGCTGACTGACATTGCTGACTGCCATTGCTGACTGCCATTGCTGACTGACATTGCTGACTGACATTGCTGACTGACATTGCTGACTGACATTGCTGACTGACATTGCTGACTGGCATTGCTGACTGGCATTGCTGACTGACATTGCTGACTGACATTGCTGACTGACATTGCTGACTGACATTGCTGACTGACATTGCTGACTGACATTGCTGACTGCCATTGCTGACTGACATTGCTGACTGACATTGCTGACTGACATTGCTGACTGACATTGCTGACTGACATTGCTGACTGGCATTGCTGACTGGCATTGCTGACTGACATTGCTGACTGACATTGCTGACTGACATTGCTGACTGACATTGCTGACTGACATTGCTGACTGACATTGCTGACTGACATTGCTGACTGACTGCACACAACAAGAGCTAGGCAGTGCGAACCAGGGTTGTGGTTGCGGATGCATTCATGCCCTACAGCTCTTTAATTTAAATCACACGCTTGTTCCATAAAGCATGGTTTCATTTCGCTCGCTCGATCCAGGCGCCAGTACGTGCGTGAAACTCACCAGTGCGTGCGTGCAACTCACCAACACAAATGATCCTGTCAGGAGGCATCTGGAAGCCTGTGTTGCAATCACAGGTGGCATTTCCATTCGCATCCTTGATGCACTTGCCGTTCGGCCCACAATTCACAGAATTACATTTATCTGCAATGGAAGGGAGGAGCCACGAAAACATGCAACAATCAAGAGGGAAAAGCATGGCAAAAACCTGCTCTTGAGTCGACTCAAAAGCAATCAATGCATTGGCTCAACAGGAGCACAAAGTGCAGACTTGACAGTGTTAAAGTCAGGGCGTGAAGCAGAGCTGAGAAGCGTGAAGCAGAGCTGAGAAGCGTTCAAACAAATCAAGATCATTATCATCATCATCAGCACGTTCTATATTTCTCGGTTGCACTATGCGCAACTCAACTCACCAACGCAGGCACCTCCGTTGCTGACTGACATTGCTGACTGACATTGCTGACTGACATTGCTGACTGACTGCACACAACAAGAGCTAGGCAGTGCGAACCAGGGTTGTGGTTGCGGATGCATTCATGCCCTACAGCTCTTTAATTTAAATCACACGCTTGTTCCATAAAGCATGGTTTCATTTCGCTCGCTGAATCCACGCGCCAGTACGTGCGTGAAACTCACCAGTGCGTGCGTGCAACTCACCAACGCAAGTGATCCTGTCAGGAGGCATCTGGAAGCCTGTGTTGCAATCACAGGTGGCATTTCCATTCGCATCCTTGATGCACTTGCCGTTCGGCCCACAATTCACAGAATTACATTTATCTGCAATGGAAGGGAGGAGCCACGAAAACATGCAACAATCAAGAGGGAAAAGCATGGCAAGATCCTGCTCTTGAGTCGACTCAAAAGCAATCAATGCATTGGCTCAACAGGAGCACAAAGTGCAGACTTGACAGTGTTTAAGTCAGGGCGTGAAGCAGAGCTGAGAAGCGTGAAGCAGAGCTGAGAAGCGTGAAGCAGAGCTGAGAAGCGTTCAAACAAATCAAGATCATTATCATCATCATCAGCACGTTCTATATTTCTCGGTTGCACTATGCGCAACTCAACTCACCAACGCAGGCACCTTCGTTCGGCCCCCTTTCGAAGCCCTTGTTGCACACACATGACGGGACCCTGTCCGCGTCCCTCTCGCAGTGTGTATTGTTGATGGCCATACAGTCCGGATTGCACTTGACTGCAGTGGAAGGGAGTTTGTGGAAAAGAAGAGAGAAACTTTGGCCGAGGTTGAAAGTTTGGCGACCACAGCGTAAAAAGGGCCCAGCTTTGGAATACTGCAAATGAACATGCTATGCTATGCTATGCTATGCTATGCTATGCTACTCATTTGAGGCTTGCAGCTGGACGCCGTTTTTTCTAGACTGCAGCTCGCCTAAACAAAGCTTCTATGGCGCGGAGAACACTATACCTTGGCAGGTGCCGTTGATGCCAAGATAGCCCTCGTCGCACTTGCAGGTGGCTGCCCTGTTGTCGCTTGTGCCCGCACACACGGAGTTGGCGGGGCATGTAGCGTAATCGCATGCTGTGGAGGAGGCTGCAAAACCGGGCATCAAAACAAGATCAGATCAGATCAGATCAGACCCTCTGACAGTGACAAACGAAAGGTTGGTTCCATGGAAAAAGACAGCATGGGGTGAATGTGGCAAGGGGTTAAAGGCAGCAACGGGTGAAAGGCGGCAAGGGGTGAAAGGCAGCGAGGGGTAAAAGGCAGCGAGGGGTAAAAGGCAGCGAGGGGTGAAAGGCAGCGAGGGGTGAAAGGCAGCGAAGGGTGAAAGGCAGCGAGGGGTGAAAGGCAGCGAGGGGTGAAAGGCAGCGAGGGGCGTACAGAATGAGCAACGAACTGACGCGAGTTGGCTGGATGGTGTGATGGACGGGGGGTTGCTGCTGCGTGGGGGAAGAAGAAGAGAACACAAGGCAAAACACAGCTTTGAGCCATGGTCCTCTACTCATACCCATCGCGACCCACCCCATCTTATGGTCCCCCGCCTTCTTTGATCCCACCCATCGAATCTCACCCCGTTCAATCAACCCCACCCATGCCATCTTCTCCCTCCCACCACTTCGCCTCACCTCATCCCTTCTCTTTTCCCTCCTCCCGTCCCCCACCCTTGCCCTGCCTTGCCTCACTGCACGCATGACCCAGCCATATTCACGGCATGGCCTTTCTCGCGCACGGACCTGGAGAAGGAGTACAGGAGTTGCAGGACAGCGCCGCTGCAGCTGCCGCCCGGGAAGAACGCCAGCGTGGTGCAGGGCGCGTCCCACCGCACGCTCACAGGCGTCGCCACGCCAGCGGGCGCCGTGCCTTCTGGCACGCTTGCACAGCGCGAGGAGGGGTCGAAGGCGACCTTGTACGCGCCCACTGCCACCGCCGTCGCCACCACCACCCTGGCAGGCACCTCGGTGGGCCACCACGGAGCGTCTCCGGCTGATGCAACCGCGATGACACCACGTGGCACGATGCAGGGAGGGCGGCGATGAGAGTGGGCCGCCACGTGGCGCGATGCAGGGAGGGCGCGGGCAGAGCAGCAAGGGGAGGTGAGGGAGTCGATTGGGTGTGAGAGCGTGAGAGAAGGACTCGTGGCTCGTGGGGAAATGAGGCAGCGAGTCAAGCTGCTGCAACCCTGTGCAACCCTGTGCAACCCTGTGCAACCCTGCGCAACCCTGTGCAACCCTGTGCAACCCTGTGCAACCCTGCGCAACCCTGTGCAACCCTGTGCAGTGCCCGAACCTTTTACTGCAGCGCTTATGGGGTACTTCTATAAAGCTACCTTGGCATTGCGACATTTGCACGTGACATTGTAGGGAACGAAGCCCTGCGTGCACGTGCAGACCGCGTAACAACAGGCACTCTACTCACTGGGCATGCACTGGAGGGAGGGCGAGAAGGAGCGTACCGATAAAGCAGAGAGTTGACAGTGGATATGGATAGGAGAGAACGGTTCGGCTGGTGTAGGTGGTGGGGCTGTAGAGGGGAGGGAGGCACAGGAAGAACGTGGGAGAAAAACGGCTGGTATTGAGCCAATATGATGGTAATAAAAGGCTGGTATTGAGCCAATATGATGGTAAAAACGTTGTCTCGTTATAGCTTATAGTGCGCGCCCCGTTTTAGCACACCATTCCAGTCCAGCCAACAAGTTTCGGCTCACTGCCAACACAACACGTCAGTCAAATAAAACCCAACCGCACTGTACCCCACTCCACCCCTTCCCATTGCACAGGCGGCACGCCGCTGACCTTGAGGGCTTGGCAAGAGAGGACGCGACGACCCCAGTGCAATCAGGGCCGGTCAAGAAAGTGATGCTTTCGCACGCCGGCAGCTTGGCGGCGGCAGCGGTAGTCCACTGCACGGTGGTGTTGGGTAAGGTGCGCGGCGGCAGGTTGGTGCAGCGGGCCGCGGTGAAGTTGAAGGCGAAGGCGCCCACCGTGATCCGCGTCGCCACCGTCGCCGGCGGCACGGACGTATCCGTTGGAATGTCTTGACCGGACGCCCCGCGGATGATGGAACGAGTCGCTGCACGGGAGGGCGAGGGGAACAGAGAGGAGAACGAGAGGGGGAACAGAGCAGGGCGGGGAGTTGGTTGGTGTGATCTGCTCTCGTCGGCGCGCTCTCGTCGGCCCGCCGCTCTCGTCGACCCGCCGCCCTCATCGGTCCGCATTCCTAGTTTCGTCCAGTCGCATTCGGTGGCGTGCGAACGCGAGTGGCGCTCTTAAGCATGTAGAGTGACGCGGAGAGGAGAGCGCCAGGCGCGAACACATGGCGGAGAGTGAAGGATACGTGACTTGGGGACGGTGGGCACGGGACGGACGAAAGAACACTGGCGACCGGCATGCGCACACAGAAAGGACTCGCGGGGCGGCACGGGTGGCGGACAGACTATTACACCTCGCTACCCACTGGGTCAAAACGAGGGTGTTATTTGGCGCGGCGGAATGCGGCCCTTTAACTCTAGCCCACAGGCGTTACACTGACCGAGAATGAGGGCGAGCGCGAGCAGCGCCGGAAAGCCGCCCATCGTGGCGAGCGGAGCGGAGGTCCGATCGGCGCAGCGAAGAGGCGCGGCAGAGAGGCGCAGCGCAGGTGACGGTAGCGATCGTGGATGGCAGTGCTTCCCGAGATACGGGAGCAGATGATTCGCCGATGATGATTGGGCAGAATGAGGCGCGGCGAGATTGTTTCGCAGAGAGAGCGACGGCGAGTTGGCACAACAGGCGGTTATGGCACAGAAGCGACACTTCACGAGGCTTCATGGCTGCCGTGGGCTGGCTATTTGAAGTGCGAGCTTGAAGCTAGGAGGCGAGGAAGGTTGTCAAACGCGTAAGGTCGTAAAACGGGGGATGAGGTCTACTGATTGGGATGGGAACGCGTTAGCAGTGAAATGGATGAGATTGGATGAAACAGGATGAGGGATGAGGTCAATCGAGAAGGATGAGGGCGTGTTTGAGAGGGACGACTTTCAGAAACTATGTCAAAGCAATTGACTTGTCCCACTGGCGAGAAAAAGGTAAAATGGCTCCACCGCACAATCAAAGGATAGGACAGAGTGGAAGATAGATTAAGAAGGGATGCTTCTAGATATGACCCCGGGCTGTAGGTTGCAAAAAACCTCTGATATTCCTCCCTGTTACGAGGTGGATACGCCCCTCCGTGGTGGGTTGAATGGGATGAAGCATCGCGTCAGACAGTCAAGCAAAAAAGGAACCAGGGATATTGAGTGAAATCGAGTGACCGAACGAGGATCTCACTATCGAAGCAAAACAGTCCATTGAAGGATTTAGCGAATGATAAATAGCTAACTAGCGTGGTAAACAGGGCCCAAAATATCAGGGTAAAGTACCCTGATTACCCTGGGGGTGGGCCGCTTTTTCAGAGTTACCCTTTCTAAATCAGGCTTCGAAGATACTTACCCTTCACCAAAAAGTGTTTTTTTTTTTTCCCTGATTGGATTTATGCGGTAGTTAGCTTGGCGGAATCAGGGTTGTGTGACGACTACCCTGTTACCGAAACTCTTTTTAACGCGGATCAGCCCATTCTCCGCGTGGTGCCAAAATGTCCCACTCTCACATTGGCACCGTTGTCGCTGGTGACCACAGGCGGGAAACCGTGACATGTGGTCGGCGGATCGCCATGTGGCCGGATTGGCTGTCTTACCCACAAGACTGCCAACGCACCCCTGCATCGAGCCAAACCACGCCACGCCCACTACCGTACCAACACACCCCTCGCCATGTGGCCTTATTGGCTGTCTGAGAGTCTGACCTGAAGAGGCCATGTGAGGTTCGAGCTCAACGAGGGGGTATCTCGCTTGTTCTCCATTCTCGTCCATTTTCATAGGATTGGAAAAAATTACGTAACAGACATTAGTATTGGAAACAGGCTATCTGTAGAAATACCCTGCCCAAATCAGGCTACCAAGCAGAAATCCTTGATTTACCCTGATGCAATCAGGGTATGGAAAAATTTACACAACGGGTCAGGGTAAAGAGGAGCTGCAACCCTGATTTGTCAGGGTGGGCCTAAACCAATTTTGGGCCCTGGTGGTAAAGGTAACGAGCGAATTGTGGGGTGCGCGACGGGCCTGGCGCCGAGGTTGGGAATTGTCGAGGCGGAGGGCTGGGGTGCGGGTTATCAACGGAGCCGTGCGGTTGGGTTTCGATGTGAACAGTAGATGCGAGTGTCAAGAGGTAGTAACGGTTTATTGTTGGGCACTGTTTGCGGGAATAGTCGTGTACGCGGTAAGCAGGGGCACGGAGTAAGGAAAATAAAATTTCCTTACACTGCCCCCCTCCCCAAGGAAGGCCCCCTTACGAAAGGGCGTGCACGTCGCGGAAGTTTCGACGTGCGGTCCTTCCAGCGAATCAGGAACTCAATGCGGCGTGCTCCACGTGGGTCACGAATTCGATGGATCAACACATAATCGGGGGTGATGACTGGTTCTGTTGGCGAGAGTGTCATGCTTGACGGGCGGCTGTGTGGCAGTTGACTCGTTGATGGAACATAGGGGCGGAGGAGGCTGACGTGAAATGACAGGCTGACGTACCAATCAGCGGGCAGGAGGAGGTGGGAGGTGGCGGGTGTGATCATGTGGCTGATGCAAAATGGCCAGCAATATCGGGGGCGTAACTTTGGAGTGACGGGCAGGAGGAGGTTATGACTGTCGAGCAGTACCAGGTCGTCAGGCTGGTAAGTGGTGGGGCGGCGGTGGCGATTGGCGTTTCACTTAGCGATGATGTTTGATTTTTTTATGGCGTCTGCAGCTCTGGTCCAGGCGGCCTGTAAAATTTCGGCGAATTGTTGTGCGCGTGGGACCGGGTTGTCGGGAGTCGACGTCATTATAGTGGGGTTTTGTACATAGTCAAGGTAGAACAGTGACTGGTGCGTCGTAGATGCACTGGAGTTGTCGTATGCGAACTCAATGAGTGGCAACTGCTGCTCCCAAGTTGCCGGGTCGTCGCACGTGGCTCGATTTGACTGCTCCATGGTCTGATTGGTCACTTCTGTTTGATCGTCGGTTTCCTGGTGGTATGATGAATTGAAAGTAGTCGCGTGCCAAACTATTGCCACAGAATTTGCTGGTGAATTTTGTGTCCCGCTGATGATCGTCGCGGGCATCTTGTGCAGTCGAACGATGGTGGCAATAAAGAGTCGTTGTGTTTTTTTTGGCTGAGATTGACTTTTTGCAGGCTGCAAAATGTGCTATTTTTGTTAGCCGATTGACGATGACAAGAATCGCGTCATTCCCACTCGCTCCAGTCGGTAAACCCGTGACGAAGTCCATCGTCATCTGCTGCCAAGCCTGATCTGGGGTGGTAACGGCTGCAACTGTCATGCAGGTCGTTGTCGTGACGACTACATCAGCTGGTAGTTGGGACACGATGCCACGTGTCGCTGTACGTCGGTCAGCATTTCGGGCCACTAATAGTACCGCTACAGCTGATGTCGTGTTCTTTCGACCCTGAAATATCCTGAGTTGAGTCATGCGCCTCCTGTAGCAGTAATTCCGGTAGTATGGTGTTGCCCGGTACCCATATGTGACCAGTGCCGGCTTTTACGTAATACACCCCTCGTGCTGCTGCAAATTGTTGCGAGTTGCCTCCTATGAAGAATGGGTTTGTTTGGTAGTCGTGGGTGAATAGGCCTATGAGCATTGAGCTGGTCAGGGTGCAAAGTACCGCATGTATCTGAGCAGTTTGGCGGGTCAGCGCGCCGACGATGTTGAAACAACCCTTTCTGTAGGTGACCGTGTAAAGGAAATTTGACTCGAGGAAACCGAGCCAGCGGATCTGTCCTGGTTTGAGGTGGGGTTGTGCGCGAAGGTACTGTAGCTAGCGGTGTGTCAAACTCATACACTATAGTCTGTGTAGGCTGTAGTGGGGTAGCTTATATGGGGTACAACACTTTAGGGTTTGGTACTTGTACTTCTCATGCTGCTCAGTTCAACCATTCCTCGTTTCATTTTCACATGGTTTCAGAGCAGGTTCCCTAGTGGGAACGCTCTCTAGGGCCCACCCCGATATTTTTTTTTTTTCCTGCCCGGAGCGCGCTTCGCCCCTGCCCGAGTCGCGCCCCGAGTGCCCTCCCTACCGTCGCGCCGCCCTTAGCGGCCCCTTGAGCCGCCCTTACGGCCCCGCGCGCCACCCTTACGGCCCCTCGTGCCGCCCGTCGACCCCGCGCGCCGCCCTTGCGGCCCCTCGCGCGCCTCTCGTCGGCCCCGCGCGCCGCCCTTGCGGCCCCTCACGCCTCTCGTCGGCCCCGAGCGCCGCCCTTGCGGCCCCTCGCGCCGCTCCTCGGCCCCGCCGCCGCCCTTGCGGCCCCTCGCGCCGCCCTTAACGGCCCCTTACGGCCCCTCACGCGGCCCCTTACGCCCCCCCCCCTTTTGCGGCCCGCCGACGCCCACTACAGCAGCGGCCGCCGCCTTCCCTGGAGCAGCGGCCGCCGCCGTCGTCCCTTCAGCAGCGGCCGCCGCAGTCTCTGCAGCAGCAGTCGCCGCCGTCGTCCCTGCAGCAGCAGCTGCCACTGTCCCTGCAGCAACCGAGCCGCCGCTCCCGCCGAGCCGCCCGAGCCGCCCGAACCGCCGAGCCGCCCGAGCCGCCCGAGCCGCCCGAGCCGCCGAGCCGCCCGAGCCACCCGAGCCGCCGGAGCCGCCCGAGCCGCCGAGTCGCCGAGCCGCCGAGCTGCTGTTGCTGCCGTGCCGCCGAGCCGCCGAGCCGTCCGAGCCGCCCTGTCCGCTACACCCGGTCACTGCCGTCGCGGCCCTGTTCCTGCCGGCGAGCCTCGGTCCTTCTCGCCTGCCCGGTAAGAGCAGCACCTCTACCACTGCACTGCCCTTAGCCTACTGCTCGCGCTGCTAGTCTACTGCTGTCATGGCTACCCCCAGTGTCCTCTCTTTTGACGCTGAGGGTCGGGCCATTGACTTTGACGTCTGGGTAGATGACCTGCAGCTTTTCCTACAGTGCGATAGGGCAGACGGTCTCTCCCTCTTTGACCTCACTTCTGGTGCCTCTCCTGCCCCTGCTGCTGATGCTGACGCCACTGTTCGCTCACAGTGGGCCACACGCGATGCTGCTGCACGTCTTGCTGTGCGTCGCCACTTGCCTACCTCTGAGCGTGCACACTTTAGCCAGTACAAGAGTGCTAGGACCTTGTACGACGCTGTAG